AGCGTTCTTGCTCATTTTGCCTCCGAGATATGAGCAAAAACTGGACAGGAAACATGGAATTTTGGCATAATCTTGCACGTAAGTGTCTTGATATTCAAATTTCGCTTTCTGGGTCAAAACTACTCGAATTTCCTCACTAACGTTGTTACGACAGAATCGAGTTTTCAATTATCTATCCAACGATGCCAAAACGAATTATGTGGCTTAACTGGTTCTTGAGAAACCTCGAAAAAAGCAGCGCCATGTTCAAGTGGATTTTACAACTCAAAAAAGAACCACGCAAATCTAAAACTTCCTGAATGCAAGCCTTTTTTGAGAAAACTGCCAGCATTTCCTTATCGATGGTTTACTCTCTAAAAAGGCCATTTACTTCTCTCTAGAATGATACGAATGAGCGTTCTTGCTCATTTTGCTTCCGAGATATGAGCAAAAAAAGGCAAACTATTTTGTCTTAAATCGCATCGCTTCGCCCAAACTCCCATCGCCTCGCTCCGCATAGCAGGCAGTCTGCACAGAGACAGAGTAATCTAATAACGTACATTTATGCTTTCCGCGTTGAGTCGCATCGCTAATGCCGACTTCTATTAAATATATTTTAACTCAACCACTAACTAGTTTTATTCATTTCCAGGTGAAGGTGGTTATTTGATCAACTCAGAGGGCGAAAGATTCATGGAGAGATACGCTCCAGTTGCCAAAGACTTAGCATCTAGAGACGTCGTCTCCAGGAGTATGACTATGGAAATTCGAGAGGGTAAGCCCTTCTAGATACGGCTAAGATGCCAGCAAATGTTCTTAATTCTCGGTGGTTGGTCTTCGACTGCAATGTTAGTCTGTGTATCTATCTGACTCTCCTTCAACTTCAGTAAATCGACTAATAGTAATACAGAATAGTACTATCCTGAGAGTTGTTCGATCCATGGCCGTATTTAGTTCGATGGGGAAACAATTTAGACTTTCTCGCACTTGCCTGTCTCAATTTCCGCAAACAGCCGTCTCTTAAGTGACACGCATTTCTGACCTTCCAGGGAAGATCCTCGCTTCCAGTTTGACTGGAGTGGGAGCTCAAGATTGAGATAGGTAAGTGCCCGATCGAAATTTTCTGAATTCGGTCATCGCTGCTGATTTCCCTTGTGCATGATCGTTGTGAATTGTCGCTAGGACGTGGCGTCGGACCGGAAAAGGACCACGTCTACTTGCAGCTGCATCATTTGCCTGCTGAGCAACTGCATCAGCGATTGCCCGGAATTTCCGAAACGGCCATGATATTCGCCGGTGTTGATGTGACCAGAGAGCCAATTCCAGTAATTCCGACTGTGCACTACAACATGGGCGGTATTCCGACGAATTATAAAGGACAGGTGGGGAACGTTGTCTCGAAACATTTCTGATTCTTTACGAAACATGTTGATTACTAGGTGCTAACGTCGTGCAACAACGAAGACAAAGTGGTTCCTGGATTATACGCTTGCGGTGAAGCAGCTTCCTGCTCAGTTCATGGTGCGAACAGGTTGGGTGCCAATTCGCTCCTGGATTTGGTCGTGTTTGGTAGAGCATGTGCGCTCACAATTGCTGAAGAACACAAGCCGGGAGAACGCGTTTCAGATGTTAAAGCTGTAAGTTTGTCTTGCGGCACTCTTCGCACAATGGTAGCAACAGTTGGTCGACATTGGGACACCTATTATTAATTAACTAAGACTCAGTTATTTATATCGTCCATCTTTAAGCAATAAATAATTTCTCCAGAACGCTGGGGAAGAAACTGTGGCCAATTTGGACTGGTGCCGATACGCAAATGGGCCTCTGCCAACGGCCAACTTGCGATTGCAAATGCAAAAAACGATGCAAGCGCATGCGGCCGTTTTTCGCACCGAAGAAGTCTTGCAGGAGGGCATCGAAAAGATGAAGGATCTGTTTGGTCAACAGAAGGATTTGAAGGTGTCCGACAACAGGTAAGGGCGATGTTAATTAATTAAAGTCGCCCCACTAAGGCTCTTACGATTTGCAGCCTTATCTGGAATTCAGATCTCGTGGAAACCTTGGAACTGCAAAATCTTATGTTGAACGCAGTGATGACGATTGTAGCTGCTGAGAACCGCAAGGAGTCAAGAGGAGCGCACGCTCGTGAGGATTATAAGTCGCGATGCGACGAGTTTGATTACAGTAAACCTCTTGAAGGTAGGTCTACAAGTCTACAAGGAAGGCTCTGAAGCAAAGTGCTGTAGATCGAAAACCTGATCCTGATCAGGACAGGTTTGAGGCTTTTTTGCTGAATTGTTCTGAAGAGTTTTCTTATCATGTGCAAATTTCGTTTCGTTGAATTTGGCAGAAAATTTTTGAGAATTTTTTAAAATCAGAGAGAAATCGGAGTTGCTTCTCATATGTGAAGGATCATATTGTATAGGATTTATAGTTTCATAGTTACAATAATTCTTCTTTTTGAGCGGGCTCCATCAGAAACATATTTTACAATTTATTGTACATTCTTTCCTGA